GGAATAAAAGGACTTATTATCCGTGTGTCTTTCTGAACTGCAGAAATGCAGCTTACATCTTTTTCAGCTGAAGAAGCAAGTCCAGTTCTTGTAAACAGAAAAACATTGCAGAGGTGCTCTTTTCCATTGCAACCATGAATGCACAAAATACTACAGTATTAATATGAAGAGGGAGTTGAACTTTATAAGACTAACGGAAGGAAGTTAGGACAGGATGGGCCTTGGATGTAACAGCTGGAAGGAGCATGACTTGTAGGAAAACAAAACCAGTCTTTGGCTATTCTGAACAAGTAGAAAAAAGTTCCAGAAAAAAAAAATAAAAATAACCTATTTTAGGGACTTACTAACATAACTAAAGCAAGATCTGCACAGTATGTACTGGTAAAGCACTTCAGTGTGTTCACACACACTTACACATGCTGCATTTATGACCAGTATTATGCATTTTATTGAACCACAGGATTAGTTCAGACTACAGCTTTTTCCACCTAGAAAATGTTTGATAATCATTCATCTGCAAATGAAAAAAAAGAAGCTAAAATGTCAAGGAGAAAATATAGTATTGAGCAAGTCCACTTGTTTTCATCTGACCTTTTTAATAAAGAATATTTCAAAGCAGTAAGATGTTTCAAATAAAAAAAAATAGCATTTTGTTCTAAAAATGTCCGTCGTTTAAATTCTCACATTGTTCCCATCTCCCTTGGAAGACATGAAATTTAATGCAAATCAATGTAAAAACAACCATTAAATTGGAATTCTGGGTCCTTTAACAGAAAGCTGTTTTTCTGAATACTTTCCATATAATGCTTTGCAGCTGTTGTGGCCAGACAAGTGTTAATTTAGCAGGCAAGAAAGAGCTACCCTGGGAGAAGAGAGCTCTGGGTGAACGGGGGCTCTGTAACTCCCTGGTCTCATGGCTCCTCACACCCAGGAGCCCCTTTGGGCTGCCCCCCAGCTCCCAGAGCTGCCACCAGCTGGGCTAATCCTGGCCACTCCTGCGCCCCACTTGGCTGCCAGCACAGCTGCTCCCCCCACTTCCCAACTAGGGTGGTCTCTCTTCCCTTGCCCACCACTCTGTGAGTATTTACTGGAAACATGTTTTCTTGGAGGAGGGTTAATCCTTTTTCATGCAGAGCTCCCCTCCCTTTTCCTGATATGCGGAAAGAAAACTCTATAACCCACAGAGTAAGTTATGGGATGTATGTATTTATTCAGTGCTGAGGTGCATGGGGAATATCTCCTCCAAAAACATGCACCCCCTCGGAGACCTGCCCCTCTCTTTTTATTCTCTACAAACTAGGGTTACAAAATACGCATAATGCGTATTCATTTCCTAACACTGCCTGTCACCCACTTCATATTAAAATTAGCTCCACACCTCTTTGCCACTGTGCACTGCTCTTTGTTGGTCATCCTGGGGTTGTCTGGGGGTCTTTGGGGCTGAAGTAAGCAATCTTCCCCTCAGCTGAACTTTTCGCCTTGTCTCCTTGCACATGCTCCTTTTTAGTCCTTTGGCCATCTTCTGGACTTTGACACCATTTTTTCTGGCTCAGGGGCCCAGAGAACCCCCATATCCTGTTGTGCCTTTGCCCTTGCATCCTGTTTGTGCACTCCAGCTCTTTATCTTGCCTTGTAGCCTTACTCCCTTCCTGTTCTTGTGGAAACAGTAAGCATTTCACATGGTTTTGTCAGCCCCTCCTTTCAGTCAAAGCATTTCTTGATGTTTGATTCCTAATTCTTAATTTCTCTGTTTCATTCCAAAGAAGCTTGTTCCTGAAATTGTATTTTTTTACAGATAAATAAAACACTGCTAAAATTAGGCTCAGGAAGAGAAGTAGCAGGGTTTCTTGGCTCTACGCTTTCCCCTGTGTGGTCGTAATCTGTTCCAGAGAGCTGCCTCTGGTCTTTTGCCTCTCTTGTTAAACCAGTGGTTCTTGGAGGCAGCCCATGTCCCTGTTTTGTCAGGATGTGTTCTTGCACCAATTTCACATTGCATCTGCTTTTTCTGCCATGCTGACAGAGAATCACAGAATCATCAAAAAAGTCTGGAAGGGTCCTTAAAGACCATCCAGTTCCAACAATTCCTGTGAGACAAGGCTGCTTAAATCCTCATTCAACCTGTCCTAGAATACTTTCACGGATGGGGCTTCTGCTAAGACTTTTTCAGGTATGGTGAGTTCTGGTTTCATGGTTTGTTAACCTCTGTCTTTAGCTGCATCTAAGTAAAAACCAAGGTAACAATACTCGCCAATAATGCAAAGTTATTCTCAATATTTTAAAATTAACCACTGGTTTAATGAACTGGAGAGATACTTTCTTGAGGCTGCCTGACCAGAAAGCAAAATGGCATATCTAACTCAGTACTTAAGTGTGAAGTGTCCCTGCCCAGGGAGGCAAAAATTTAGTTTCAAATAAGCATTGTTAAAGTGAGAGGTGGGGCTTTAAAGCCCGGGAAGTGTAAACTCCATCCCTCTGCCTCAGGGCAGGGGCCCTGTGAGCCTGGGAAGACTTGTCCTACCCCAGACTCTAGTGGGGTGGCAGGCCAGGGAGTTCTGATTGGTTTTGAGCCCCTGGGGTTTCCCCCTTGCTGTGTTCCTATTAGAACCAGACCTTAAACTCCACCCTGGTTCTGTCCCATAAAACCCACCAACCTGCCGCTCTTCGGGGCTCTCTGTCCCTGGATCTAAACTGAGTTTGTTCCTGTGTTGAATAAATGGTTTCCTGAGCAGAAGCCCATCTTGTTGGAGTCCCATGCCAACCACCAGAATCCATAACCTCCCTGGACTTGATCCTGCAGTTGCAGAATGCAACACAGAAGAAATGGTGTTCAAAGTGAAACTAAATCCTGCCTTCATGCACTGATAGACTCTGAACTTGCTGAAGTTATCTCTCAAGAACTGAATGTCTTTTTATTATAATGCATATCTTGTTAAAATATTGATTCATGGATGATTAAAAAAAAAACCCTAGAAATTATTTCAAGGAAGCAGAAAACAAATGTCAGTATTCCATTGTAGCAAACTGTGATTCAGTTGTATCTTCAATGAACTGGAAATCTGGTATACTTCCTATTTACTGTCATGTAAAAAATGATACCTGAATCCTAGAGAACAATTCAGGTGGCAACATGGATAAAGAAAGTCTGCAAAGGTATACATCAAATGAGGAATGCCTATATTAGGGTTTTCCCAGCCTGGGAAAAAAAGAGCTATGGTGAAGGTGTGCAAGAGCAGGAGTTGATGGAGACACCAAGGATCCACTCTTTTTTCTCTTTCCCTTCCAGATCTTGGGGACATCAAATGGCATAGTGTCAGGTTTGAATTGTGAAAAACAATGTTCAGTTTCCTGGTAAATTTTAAAAGATTTAATAAAAAAGGAAATAGGAGACAAAGACAATAAAGTAAAGGGTTAAAATGGCCGGATGTTTGGCATTCTGCTAAGAGCACACCTGGTGTTTTGGAAACACTCTATATACCATTTCTATTGCATCACCTTGATATATATTCATAAGTTTTATGCATATTCAAACTTTTCTATTAACTAGTTTACATTTTCCAGGAACTGTTTAGCATGGCCACTCCTTGAGTCCACCTTTTTAGAGCATGCATGTTTCTTGGCTTGTGTTTTTAATTGCCTTCTTATTCATCTTTTAATTTGGGCCTTGGCTCCTTCTTTCCACAGACAGTGAGTGTTGATAATCAGCAGGTCCCCATCATCTGTTCACTGAATGTTATCCCAACCAAGTAGACAGTTCTAACATACTATATCAACTATTACAGCAAAGCCATTTTAACATTATACATATAGCATTCATCTTAATACTTGAGAAAAGCCAATATTATACTATGTATCCATAACAGAATGATGGTTAAGCACACGTTCTATACAATATTTTGGATGTCAGTAAGTCTGCATGGGTTAAAACAAAAGGTATTAGTTACAAAGGAAATCCCTGAAATCACACAGGGTGTGAAGGCATTGCCAAACTTCCTTTCCCTGTCCCTGTACTCCCCACTCAGCTGCTGGCTGTAGTTGAGATGTGGCCAGACTAACCTTCAGTATAATTAATTCTTCCTGATTTTACGTCCGGTTTTGGTTGCTGTGTCCTTGTATTATACTGCTGCATAATAAAAAGGGCTCCTCCAGGTCAAGGCAAGTATTTAATTTAGCAGCATGTTTTCCTCTGCAGCAGGAGCAGCAGCAGCTCAGCACTGAGCACGACACATCTGCTGTGAGCCCAGCAGCCACCTGAACTAGTGCTGCCTGATCTGGAGCCTCTGTGCCATCCTTTCAGCTGCCCAAAGAGCTGAATGGGAACTGTGAATTTTCAGATCCCTGACCTCCTAAATACCTTTTTTCTTTATTGGAGAAAAAAGCCCAGCAAGACCCAAAGGCTCTGTGGTTTAAAGATTAAACAAAGAACAAGGTCCAGCTGTGCTTTCACTTGGCAAAGACAAAAATATCCATGACTTAATGTACTTTAAAGTAAAAAAATGTAAGAGTTACAAAATTTCCAACATTATTTCTTTTAAAAAAAAAAAATTGACTGATTATCTTGAAAAATTGACATGATTATAATTCAATTTTCTTCCATAAGAGAACAAGCCATATTGTATAGCTAAAAATATGGCACAATAGAAATCTGTATATGGTTCTGGGTGATTTTCTCACATTTCATTCACACTTTGGTGCCTCACTGAAAAGATGATGAGGTTTAAACCATTGCTAGTTACAATGCACGTGTGGACAAACACAAACTATTCTTATAAAAGGAAGTTTCTTCATTGTATTCTGTTGGCAACTGGAGTAGTTTTCCTGTGTGTCTCTACTCGACTGTGCAGTAACTGTTATTCCCTCTATGAAGGGCTGTTTCTGTGCCTCACTATATCGTCACCACCAACTGAAACTGAAAGCTCTGCAAGCTTATTTAAGCTATGGGAGCTGCAGGACACTTTCTCTTTTGTCCTTTTCTGACAGAGGTTTTGCTCTTCTCAAAGTAAGGAGAGGCAGAAAAATGGATATGTTACATAAAGTGGTGAATTTCTGCATCCAACACCAAACCGTTCTTGGTTACAGCACCATGTCCCTCCTGACGGCTGCCAGTGAGTTCATCTTCTCATCTGTGGTGTTCAAGTGTCCCTGCAATTCTTGGAACTTGGTATATGGTTCCTCCTTCCTCTTTGCTCCTGCCCTCGTGCTCTTGCTGCTCGGCTGCATGGTGAATGTCAGGATATGGCGTCTGTTGACAGGCAAATGTTCTCCAGAGAAGCAGTGCATTTCCTGTGGAACCTGTGCCCGCTACTGCCAGCTGTTGGTGCCAATGGCAGCCAAAACCTTGGTGGCCCCGCTCACCTGGATAGTGGTGGCCCTGTTAGGAGCCAACTTCTACGAGTGTGCGGCCAGCGGAAGCATACAGATACAACGCTTCTTCTGTAAAGATAATGCGATTAACTTCAGCTGCCAAAAAATCCTGTCCAAAATACCCTGTGATAAAGAATTATCAGCAAAGCTATCAAGTGAATGGCTCAGCCTCCAGGCACAGTCCCAGGTAAAGCCTCGCTGTTCTCCTTACACTATGGGCTTCAACCCTGGCTGCTCAATGTGTAGTTATGCCTGCTGGGCACTGTAAACAGTCCTTCTTGCTTATGTTATATAATACCATGTACCAAAAGCACACAGGTAGCAATTATTCATTGGCAAAAAAGCAGTAACAGAAAAGCAATAGGTGTGTTTTTATGATCCTTTCTGGTTTTGCATGTTTGCATGGTAATGGTTTGGCACTGTCATTTACAAAACCTCATGGGCAGGGAATGAGCCTAGAGAATGGGACTTTCCTCAGGAAGTTTTCTTCTCAGTTAACTTAGACATGGTGTGAGTTCTTCTCCTTCTCCACTTTTATGTCTCTGAGTACCTCAAACTTCTGCAAAAGTGCATTAGTTGAGGGGAAGCTGAGATCACTAAGAGAGGGGAAGCTGATGCCTCATTGCAACAGAGTGGTTACAAGGAGACATCTGGAAAGAGAAACAAGAACAGCTTGTTTGACTATGAGTCTCAGTGCTTGAACCTCTTAATAATTTCACACTTGTATTCTAGAAGAATAGTTAAAATATGCATCTGTCTTGTTAAAGTTTCTTGTTCTGAAGGCAAGCTGCATGATCAAAACAGTAACACTTGTGAATTGGGGTTTTTTTTGGTTCTTTGGCAGCACTCCAGTTTTGTTTCTGCATTGTGTGGATTTTGTCTTAACTCCAGTAGGAAAATCAGGTTTTGTAAGCTTTTCTCAGGAAAACATCAAGAGTCAGTTAAGGGAGTTAAGTTTATAAGTTAATTTTTGTTAAGTATAGTTACTTGGATTTTTGTAAGTTCCTGTTTGGAACAAATGCCTATTAAAACAAAAAAGTGTTTTTGTTAAATACTTAGCATGCTGCTTCTCCAAGAAAAAGGCTGGAAAGGGAAAAACTATGCCATTGCTTTTAGATAGGGGAATGTTATAATTGAGTAGCAAATTTGATTAATAAAAAAGAACTTATTCTATAATCAAAATACAATTGTAAAAGGCCACAAGCAAAAGTCAGATCGGCGCTGAACCGGGCAAACAACGTCGGGTGAGGCAGGGAGGGGCTCTCTAGCACCGCTTCACCATGCTTCACAAACTGCAACTGTCACAGGGTGCTTTTTAAGTTTTCAGGGGGTCCCCTGGAAATATGCCCCTTGCAGACAAATATTCATGCTAACCTCGGTGCATATCACTATAATCTCGTCAGAGGAGGTTTCCTGGAAATATGCTAGGATTCTTATCAGACAAGATTATAACTTTAGCATGAATTTATTCTGCAATGTATCACAGTAAGAAAGGAGCAAAACCAAGGAAGACTGACTGTTACTGACATTGCAGTGGAATCTAAAAGAAACATCCAGTCAAACAAAAATAGGAAAAGTGTCAGTGTATTTTTATTACTGACCACTATTTTTAATATCCAGCCTACTTCCAACAAAATTAAGAGCCAAAAAAGCACAAACTCCTTTTCATTTAGCACTCAATACTTCTTCGTTTGAAGAAAAAGTCCTCTTGAGGTAAAAGAGCATGTTGCAGGATCTCTGCCTGGAGCTTCCAGCTAGGTACCTCTGGGTAGAGGAGGGACCAGCATCTACTAGGACACTTGGTTTTGATGGGACCTGTGAGACTTGTCTAAGGATGTTAAAATCAGGTATAAAAAACAAGAACAAATTCACATATTCAATAGCCAAATCTGTGTCCTGCCTACAAAACACAGAGGACACAGCCTTTCCTCTGTGTCAAGCAAAAGCTAGCTGTTTTTGCAGGCTCAGACATCAGGGAGAGTAGCTACAGCCCATGAGAACATAGCCAGCAGAAGCTCTGATTTGCAGCATGAAGCAGACAGAGTGATTCTGCACCCTCTGTGCCATAAATGTGACCACAATTGCAGAAACTGTATCTTGCCTTAAAAGTTAAGAAACCTGAATATAACTGAGCCAATAACTTCTGTCCATCTTCTCTTTTTTTGGTATTCATCTTTAATCTGACAAGATCAGCTGAGGGGTGCAGAAGCTCTGTATGTCTGGCTGAAATGCATACATGAGATCCCCTCTTTTGGCAGCAAGCAGTCACATGCACTCCAGGGTGTCTTTGCTTACACTATTCATATTTCTTCAATGTTATGTTCTATACTCCCACATATAACCATGCAAAAACACCATTAACATATATATTCTTTTTCCAAGGTGATAGGATGGTTCCTGATAGCCATCATCGTGACTGTGGCACTGATTTCAACATGTGCCAGCCACTGTTGCTCCCCGGTTAGCTATCTTCAGTTCATGTTCTGGAAAAGTTACACAGAAAAAGAAGATGAACTCTTTGAGATGAAAGCCAAAGAGCATGCAACTGAGCTAGCAGAAAGAAATACAAATTGCTTTTTTGAAGCCACTGACCCAGCACCATTTCATACCCCCAGCAATGAAGACTGGCAGAAGATTTCATTGTTGTATACCTTTAATTCAGATAAGCAGTATTACAGCAGGATACACAAGTATGTGGACACCAACAGAGTCAACAGCACCGAATCAAGGGAAGATGAATCTCACTGATTTAGCATTTGTGGATGAAACTTAAGCAGGATTTTCATGGTTGTAATGAAACAATTCCTTTAAAATGCTGGCAGTCCTTTAACCCTATTGATATAAGAAGAATCTTGCTCTCTGCTCTTACTGTAATCTATGCAAACTGAAAGTGAAAGCTGACAGTTGTAACCCTCAGCAAATGTGCTTTTAAATACATTTTAATCCTTTTGCTTAAGTACATTTAAATAGGAATTTTCTTATGTTGTTGTCCATATGTAAAATAAGCAGCATGCACAAAAATGTCTGCACTTATGTCAAATTATTACTGAAACCTTAAAAGCACTTGGCAGGTGGAGTGACAATACCAAACCTTATCAAAGAGACAAAAAAAGGAATGGAAGATTTGACCAGAAATTCAGCTCAGTTTATTAGCTCTCTCTTTATAATGAAGCTTTCAGTGATGCTTATAGCAAGCTGTAGATTAAGAAATTTTGCTTGTCTTAAGGGGTTAGGCTCATGCATAACATGGCGGTGTAGGTGGAGCTTATTAACAAATGTTAAAAGCACATTCATACATTTAAGGACATTAAAAATCTGCCATCCATATTAGCAAGTAGTAATATTCTTATCAAAGAACATCTTACTATAAGAAATAAAGATAAAAGATTTGAGTGAAGAATAATAAAATTCACTTTTCTTCTGAAAAGCTGTTGTTTAAGAGAGCATTTTATATATGTAAGTCAGATTGTTTGGTCCAGGCTGTCTGTGTGCTTCTCCTAGAAATATTCTTTATACGCAATAAACTCAGAAATTATTCAGACAGACATAAATAAAGAAGTTGTTTGTTACTTTCATTTTACAATGAAGGTAGAAGGGAAGAGCCTATTTTAACTAGCTGAATATAACGAGCTTGGAAGGCTCTTTCTCACTATAAACTAAAAATATAACACATAAAGGCAGAACAAGATTTAATTTTACATGTAAAAAAAAAAATTCTAAAAAATATTAATCACAGCCACTGACTTGCTCAGTGCTCTTTTCCTTCCAAGAAACTCAATGATATAGAGTAACAGTGCAGGCTGGGGCCTGACATCTCAGACAGCATCTCTGTACAGAAGGACCTGGGTGTCTCAGTGGATGACAAGCTATGAGCCAGCAGTGCTCTTGTAGCCAGGAAGGCCAGTGGTGTCCTGTGGTGCACTGGGGAGACATGACCAGCAGGTCAAGGGAGGTGATCCTGCCCATCTACTCAGCCCCATTGAGGCCACATCTGAAGTGTTGTGTTCAGTTCTGGGCTCCTCAGTGCGAGAAAGACAAGGAGCTACTGGAGAGGGCCCAGCAGAAGAGTCACAAAGGTGATTTGTGTCTGGAGCATCCCTCCTATGAGGAGAGACTGCAGGAGCTGGGTCTGTTCAGTCCAGAGAAGAGAGGACTGAGAGAAGATCTCATTAATACCTCTCTCAAAGGCGGGTGGCAAGAGGAGGGTGCCAGACTCTTTCCAGTGATGCCCAGCAACAGGAGGAGAAGCAATGGCCTCAATCTAAAGCACAAGAAGTTTCACCTCAACATGGGAACTTCTTTACCTGGAGGGTGGCAGAGCACTGGCACAGGCTGCCCAGGAGTCTACCTCTCTGGAGACAATACAGACCCACCTGGATATGTTCCTGTGTCACCTGCTGTAGGTGACCCTGCCTTGTCAGAGGGTTTGAATTAGATCACCTTCAGAAGTCCCTTCCAACCCTAGCAGTTCTGTAATTCTATAAGAAAACAAGGACAGTATAGTTTGTTCACTTTCAGGATAATATTAATAATATTAATAATATTAATAATATTAATATTGATATGTTAATAATAATAATTATAGTAATTATTAAAAAGGGAATATTTGGCTAGTGTTGCTGGAAAAAGTGAAAATGACCATTGCCAATAAACAACCTTTATTGTGGTCAGCCACATGGCCATCTCAACCAGCTGGCCATTACCAGCAAAAACCCCACTGAGGACTCACAGGCACTGAAATCAGACAAATTCCACAACACCTTTCAGATCTAATTAAAAAGAAAAAATAACAAAAAGGCAGGGAAACTTGTTACTGGTTATGACATACTGTTACACGTACATGTTGCCGCTTCTTACTGGTAGCAGGTAACAGCAGTTGGGCTGAGACCAAGGGTGGTTAACAAATAGTTTCGGTTTTGTTCCCCATAAAATTACGCACTTAAAGCTCTGTTATGCTATGCCACCACTGTACCACACTATTAAGACAAACAATGGGAGAGAGAGTGTCATGAGAACTGTACAGGTCTGGTGAGAATGAACCCAAGGTAAGAGATGCCCCCACTCAGCATGATGAAGATGTGAACAGACTGGGGGAAATACAGGAGAAGGTCCAAAACACAGTGATAAAATCAGAGTTAATTCAGGGCTACACTGAACTTAGTTGTTGGTATTTCAGTTTCAAATAAGTGTTTTGGTGAGAAGTGGGTAAGGTGGTTTTGTGGGTAGGGTGCTGTGCTAGGACCTGGGGTTTTGTCCAACCCTTATCCAGACATCTTGCATTACACCAAACAACTTTAAACCTTTCCTATAACTTGGGTTTCTCTGAGGCTGCTCCTTCTCAACTTTCCAGTCATGTTGTGGTAACAAGTCCACTGCCACAAAGAAGATATTCAACAGCTGGTGGTGAAGCCCAGGTAAATGCAGAAAACATGACCACCAAACCATTTGTGTGGCAATCTCAGAATTTTTATTCAAACTTCCTTAGGCAGGTACAGATCCACAATGGCTACACATTAAATGCATCATGCTTTGCTCAGTTTAATCACAAGATAAGTGCTCTTGGAGAGAAGGCTGACATGAAAAGGCCCATAGCTTGGAGATACACAAGCACTGCTGCAGTTGTCAGTGCTGCAGCCTGGTGTGTGCACAGGACTGAACAGGAGTGCCAGCAAAACTGCATGTGGGGCCTCGAGAGTTGGAAGGAACACAACCAGCTCCTGCTCTCAGTGAAGGCCCATCCCTCTCTGGTTTCAAAGATAGCAGGATGTGCAGTGTGGAGGACAATGAACGGCAAAACATTACACATTAAAACATGCGTGAGTGAGTGAGTGAGTGAGTGAGTGAGTGAGTGAGTGAGACATACAGCAATCACAGCAGATGAATCCTTTATGGATAACCACACACAGCCAGGGAAATAAAGTGCCTCTAGCAGCCATGCTTTGAAACATTACTGACAAACAAAAGGGGAAAAGGTCATCACCTTTACCTGAAAACAATTTATATACAGATGAATGCACTAAATACTGAGATAAAACTTCCATTAAGCTCAAGAGACTGGGTATGTGATCATTTTTGATCTTTTTTACAGATATCTGTGTCACAACAACTAACATTGATCTCCCCTGCCCTGTCCCTCCTCTTTGCTGCCCATCTCTCTTCACCTTTCAACTAAGTGGCTGGTGCAGCTGATTCAGCAAAGCCATTTTTATCCTGTCTTCTTCTGAAACAAAAGGCACAAAATATCCCTCAGCGAGCGTTTTCTTCCAATATTTCTTTCATTTGTTCCTTCTGTGCCTTCTGTCTTCAGGCTTCCTTAAAAATGTAATTCCTATTTCTGTCACAGCATCACCCTTCAGCCTGTCCTGGAGGAAGGAAACTTCTGCTGCTAAGTGAACCTAGAAAGAATCAGGTCTGATCAGTTAAGCAAAGAAATGCCCAGTTTTCCACCCTCCTCCGGTATAATGAGCTTTTTCTCCCTCTTACCACAAGAGGACCCCCTTTCTCAGGTTTCATAGGAAACAGATCTCTAGATCGTTTTAAAATAGCTTTCCCAGCTAAACTAACACAAAGGAACTTTATAAACACTGGAATTTGTATAGCACATTACCCTTCTTCCCAGTGCTTTGCTTTCTTCTGTGACCCTAAACCACGTACTTGATGATTTTCTGATCACAGAATTTCCTAGTCATGTACTAAGATTTATACTTTTGTTAATTAGTCTTGTATCAGATACTATAATTCTGAGACTGATGTATATACATAACACTGCAGGGTTGATTTTTTTGTCTCTTGAAATATAAGATATATGCCAAATTTGATATTCACAGAAACATAAAGCAGCCCGAAAGTAATCTCCCTGAAGAAGATCTAGAGGTTAGAAATTTTCAAATTATGCCATTTATTTATTTATTTGCAAAAACCTTAAATTTAAGACCAAATTTTGGATTGCCATCTGATACACTTCTAATGCTTTGGTTTTAACATTATACTCATCCACACCTTGTTCTCTCTTTCAGCAGGTACCACGGTAACCTGAGACTATTGATGTATTTATCTTTTTCAATTTTTTCAATTTTTATCAATTTAACTTGATGTATTTGGATGACCATTACTGGCTACAGCTGTGCAGGTAAGTGTGATGGGCTTCAGGAGCAGTGGAGGAACCCAACGTGTCCTTCTGTCTGTCCACTTAAAGTGTTACCTGGCTTCCTGATCCCACCTGGCTTTTGCACCCAAGTCCGCCACTGAACAGACTGAACAGCCAGGTGGGGATAGTGTGGGGGTGAGCTAATCCATGTGCTTCTCTACCTCAGGACCCAGGCTCAGCCTTTGCTTCTTTTATCTAGATATGGACATTTAACCCGAGAGGTTAAACAATACGGTATTTCCTACTTTCATCTGAACAAGTGATCTTGCTTTCCTCTGCTACTGTGAATTAACAAAGAACGGAGAAAACAGATCTGCACTTCCTTACCATTTCCAAGGCACCTCGAATCACCCCACAGAGGAGGTTACAATAGCAAAGTGATGCTCGTTCTGCTGGCAGCTCCTCCACAAAATCCACTAGTGGGTTTTTGTCCAGGATTAAGGAGAATTCATTCCCTGTGGCATTCCTGCAGCTCACACTAGGGGTGACCCCAAGGTACATCTTGAAAGCAACCTGCAAAAGAAAGAAATTCTGCTGCTTAAATGTGTTGCGTGCAAACCAGAGGTGAAACTTGAAAGCAGCATCCTGTAGACCAATTTTACCCTATGAAAACAGGGGGGACAGCCAGACAGGCTAGAAATCAAGGTACATTTGTTTCTTCTGTGATCAGCTTGAGCCAGCAATGCAAATCTAGAGCTTTGAGGAAAACAGCAGGGAGCTGTTCTTTGATGTTCCTGCATTTACAACCCCATACAGAGTGGTTTAACTGTTATCACTCGTCTGCTTTGAGTCTGCTTTCAGTCATGTCATACTCCCTTGGGACCATTAGCATCTATATTAGGTCGTTCACTACCTCACCAACTCTTATAATCACAGCTCAAGATCTCTTTCAACTGGCCGAGCGCGTGTTTTTTTTTTTTTTTCACTCTGATCTCCATCTGCACTCGCTTAAAAAAAAACCCAAAAAACCCAAAAAACAAACAAAAAAAAACCCAACAAGAACGAGACTTCCAAGGCTGCAAGCTTATTTGGTTCCACAGAGCTCGCTTTCTTTCCACTCCCGGGGAATGCCGCTAGTGCAGATGTGCAGCATCTGGCGGTGACATCACGGCGTTATCTCGGCAGGGCGTGGGCAGAGAGCGGCGCGCTGCTCCTCCTCGGCACGGCACTGCCCTGCTGCGCATCGCTGCCGACCCACTGAAACCGCCTGGATTTTCACCTCCTTAGTGAGTATCAGACATGGATGCTTTCCAGACGATCCTGAAGTTCTTTATGAACCGGAAAACCGCTATAGGCTACAGTTTTATGGCGCTGCTGACAATGGGAGGTGAACGTGTGTTTTCTCTTGTTGCTTTCAGATGCCCTTGCAGCAATGAGAACTTCAGGTACGGTTTGGTATTTCTCTTCTCGCCAGCTCTTGTTTTGCTAGTTATTGGATACTTCTTGAACAGCAAGACCTGGAAACTCTTTACAGGCTGCTGGGTGAATCCCAGGAAAATATTCCCCCGAGGGAATGTCTGCCATTTCTTTTACGTCTTTGGCCAAATCACTTTAAACGCTCTGGTAGCCCCAGTGATGTGGCTTTCCGTGGCCTTGCTCAACGGGACTTTTTACGAATGTGCCATGAGTGGCGTGGAAAATCCCGCCTACTTACAAGCAGTTTGCCACAGGAAATCCGAGAAGTGCTTTGAAGAGCTACACAAGGTAGCCTGTGACAAAAGCTCCCTGCCCTTTTCAGAGAGCGACGAACTGAAAAGAACACTTCAAGCACAGTCCCAGGTAAGAAAAATTATAAACAAAGAGCATTATTCAGGTTGTACTCCTGCTGTGATTTATCTGTAGAAGATGCTGATGTCAGATATTATGTTAAAACTGTTGGCTTCCTGTAAATAATGTTTTGGCAGCCTTGCAAAATACAATCAATCCATCTTTTGGTTCAGTTTGAGCTGTTCCATATTTCTTAGGGGTCCCCACCGGTGGCGAGTCAATAAGACCAGAAAACCTAAAAGCTTTCTTCCTGAATGGAGATTTCTCTAAAGACAGAAAAAAAAAAACAAACCTTAACAACCCAACTGGATTGTTTCGGAGGCTAAATTAACAGATGTCACCCCACTAAAGGGGTCTGTCCTATTAAAAAATTAATGCCACATTCTCCTATTTTAAATAATTGTGATAACTGTAGGGAAATTTTAGGTCACTAACAGCAGAAAAATACTGGAAAATAAGATTTGTGAAATATCTTTTTACTGTTTACATAGTATATTTCTATTTGTGTTCCTCATTTTCATGCCAAATGTGAGCATATTTTTGTCCTGCTTGGAGGAAGTGAGAAACAATAAAGCAGATCATGCCAAGCTGAGATCTTACTACATTTTACAATATTTGTGCAGTATATTTTCTCTCTCTATTGTAATGCAAATAAATTCAGAAGCAAAAAATCAAAATCGTGGAGACAATAATAAAAACAAAAAGCTACAGAAATGGGAAAACACTGTGGGCCAGCAAGTTTTTGTCAGGGATTGTTTCCATCTGGAACAATTTTCTTTCCAAGAGTTGTTTTTTGTTTTTTTTTCAAGTCCTCATGCAAATAGGACAAAAGCAGCACTGCAGACAAAGCCATTTATTTGATAGTTTTAGAAGGCAACAACAGACTTTAAGTTGTACGTATAGGAAATAGCGAAAGACTAGGGATCCAGTTTTAGCATGAGAATATACGAGTTCATTTTCTAAGTTGCAAAAAAGTGAAAAATTGCTAAAAAGAGCAATTTCTCAAATACCCATTAAAGTTGTTAGTCAGTACAAAGTGATTGGGAAAAATAAAGGAAAACTGTAACTATTCTTCCATACCAGTTCCTAAGAATATATGTTTGTCAAGCTTCTCTGTTTCACAGACTTCCCTGAGGAAACTTCTATATTCCATCAGCTAAATACAGATTTTTACCGGTGGTAATTTTTTTTAACATCAGTGCACAAGAGTTCACATGAGAAAGGATGCAGCTCTCCATATCATAACCATTAGAGCATGGGAAATCAGTTCCAGTTCATACAGTCCTCTGAACTCTAGAATATTTGTCCCACACTGGAACTTTTTCCACTGATTGAAAACAAGTATTACTTTTTTACTTTTTGTTTTGGGTTTTTTTCGTATGGGGTTTTTTTTACACATTGCAGTGGAGTAGAGGAGTAAAACTATTGGCTAGGACAGTGGCACAAGGCAGGAAAAATTGTGTTCACACCACTGCTCTCCTTAGAGGAGAACATCCCACAATAACAATTTCAAGAACATTTTTCCACTCTCTCCCCTCCTGAGGAAGTAATTCTGGAAGTAGCTCTTTCTTTTAAAACGTTCTTGGCAGAATTTTGTCAAAATCTGAAGCTGCTACAGAAAAAAGAAGTTGAGTGATGTTGGTTAATTAGTGTAGTTGTTGTGTTGGAGGCTATTTTCTAATAAAAAGAAATCAGAAAACAAGACATCTAACAGTGGCCACAGTTTAAAAGGTTGGTTGATCTGGGACAAAAGTTACTCGCCCTTTTTGGTTTGTAGTTCTTCACAATTCAAAATTAGTAATTCTCGCTGGGTAGTTTTGTGTAGTGCTTTCATGAGTTAGAAGACACTTTACCCTTTACCAAAGAAGACACCAAAAGGAGCATTATTGAGAAGCCTCTGTGCTGATGAACTTTTCAGTTCCCATGTGAATGTCCCATTAATCAATGCCAGCACCGAACGCAAACAAGGTGTGGTCACTTTGTCAGACACTGGTGATTCAAGTAGCATTTTCACTTGGGTCTTTTTAACCTGAAACTGATTTCTTTTGCCTTCCCAGATTTTAGGCTGGTGTGTGATAGTTACCACAGCTCTCCTCTCCCTGCTAACCACTTGCTGTGCCAGTTGCCAGTCAAAAGTCAGCCACCTCCAGCTGATGTTCTGGAGAGTGTACGAGGGGACAGAGAAGGAGCAACTGGAGCAGATTTTCCAGCTGTATGCCACCAAGCTGAGCGAGCGAAACCTGAAGTGCTTTTTTGAAAACAAGGAACCCGAACCCATTTCTCTGCCAGCTTTCCAGGCATGGGAAGATGCTTCCCAGCTCTACTCTTTCAGCAGCAGCAAACAGCATTATAGCACAATTCACAGGCTAGTTGAAGAAGGCCAGAAAGGAATCAGTGAGGAAAGAGAGACAATGCTGGACCTTGCGGACAGAAGGGAAGAACCATAGACCAAGTATATTTTCAGTTTTTTTATATCTTGTTAATATGGCATACTTCTAGTTGGTTTGGTCTCTATATTTTTTCACAATGGCCTATTTCTTCTTCATCATGTTTCCTCCCGGTTAGATACTTGCTCCAAAAGGATGGACTGAAATTATTTCCCTACACAAGTGAAAAGGCTGCAGTACTCCACAGCACCCAGGGTTCATGTGACTGGCTCAGCATCAAGAGCTGACAGCACAAAGAAATGAATAATGGCTTCTACAAGAGAGTTTTAACAATATGCTATGTAAAATGTGCTTGTCCTGTGTAAATCAAGAGACTGTCAACAAGTAAAGTCTTTTTAAGTGTGTGAATATAATAACAAGATACATGTGGCTTTCTGACAGCCCACAGAAAGTACAGGTTTTCTGTCCAGGTCATTTTCAGCCCAGTTGCATGCACAGCCTTGTTTTGAGGCACCAGTGATCCCACAAGGTTTCTCTGTCTTTGGGTATTTTGCCTCTGTAGAACATATCCCTATTATCTGCTCCCAGTCTAGACTTTCTCTTTGTATGGATATAAAGTTCTACTTTCGGGTACTGGGTGCAGCCTATAGTGCTATGTAATGTTGTTGTTTCTGGGCCTGCAGCCAGTGTACAATGAGGGCTTGGAAGGAAATTCCACTTTTAAAGACAAGAAAATATTTTCACAGATGACTGACTTTCATTTTTTTGAATATCCTAGGAAAACTTAGTGTCTGGAGCAAGAAGAACCAGCAGGCGAGGCAACTGTGTCAGTTGACACATTTGTCAGTGCCTCTGATAAATGCATTTCACCCCAGAGCCCTGTGCTTTACCTCACCCACTTGGAATTCATAACATGGCTCTCAGGGTGTTCAGAGTATTTGCAAATGCTGTATAAAAGGAGAACAAACTTACTTTCCCTGGGGTGGCTGGGCAGGCTTTTGTGCAGCATTTTATTGCCAGTCTCTCTGAGTCTGCAAAGAATCATGCACAATTTTACTGTGCTTGAATCATGCTCTTCTCAACAAACCAGGGTATTCTGCCCAGCTGTTCTCATACTCAGTGGGCTTCTTCAGCAGGTAAAAGCATCTATATACAGACCATTACCCTTTATGAAATAAAACACAAGAGCTAATTCAACTATCTGCTTAGAATTTTCTCCTTATGTTTTCGAGAACTTATGACCTTTGAGACGATGTTTCAAAGTTCTTTTATCCCAGATGACCCACTTAGCAGCACACTTACAACATGTTATATGCTTAAATGAGCCTGCTGCAGCTGAAAGCACAGAGCAACACTGCCAAAATGAAAGTCACAACAGCAGGTGTCTGACACTGTGACTGGCACAGACACCAAGCATTTTCTCCCCAGGATCCTGTCCTGGTATAGCATCTACCTACTCCCAGGCTATGTGACCCTTCCTATTTGTCTGATTTTATCTTTCTTTATGAGAGCTGCCCCAACATCTTCTGTCCAGCCCCATTTCACCACCTCCTTGCATACAAGGGGAGACAACACTCCTAACAGGACAGCCACGTTGCCTGGGTCAAACTTCCTTTTCCAAAACTGTCTCTCCACCTCCTTCTTCAGAAAATCAAAGCAAGTAGGGATGCAATGGGGAGGACAGCAAGTAGGTTAATGAGCTGATCAAAGAAATATGGGAAACAAGTGGGTTGATGTAGAGATAAGGTCTCCAGTGTAATATAATAGCTGGGACACAGAGGCACAATCATAGCTGGTAGAGGGAAGGGTAGAAGGGTTTGGTATCCTCTTTTCCCTCAGAAGAAAGCTTAGGGCTCTGCACCTGAGTAGCCTGGGCCATCTGAAATTGCAGCACTTCCCAGCCCTATCTTCTGCTTTATTGTGGAGGGGCAAATCCAAGGTGAATTTCCCCCTCCTCCTCCTTGCCTGTTTCACATTTGCACATTTTTAACTCATGTTGAGAGTATCTCCACCCCCAAGAGCAGCTGCTGAACACAATGTGTGCCTGGAAGGAGCCCATCTCTCACTGATCCTCATTCCCAGGCCTGTGGGACTCTTTTATCTTACCAAAACTCCTGTGACTTCTTGCAACTTCCATATGGATCCTAGAATACATCTATAAAAACAGACTGAAATAACAGCCAGTTTGACCCTATGTTTTCAACTGGAATGTGGGTTTGGCAAATTTAACTAAGGCCTCCAAAGGGCTATTGCAAAAGCTGCTTTCTATAAGCATTGTCCCCAAATTCATCAGCTACCATGGCAGCTCAGAAAGGGACAGACTATGGTCAACACTGTCCAAAACAAACTGGAGAGAGAGGAAAAAAACCCAACAAATAAAACCAAAAAGCAAGATCAACATTTTCTGCTGGAAAATTTTAATTTTGCATTAATTCTGATACTCATCAAAATATGACTGCACAAGAAAACAGGAAACTTCTGTTTAATTCTCTGTGCTCTGTCCCTCAGTTTAGCCATTAAAATTCTCTCAGCTCTTCTTCCACTACACATCTGCTGCTCCATCAAACTTGAAGTCTTTGTTATAAAAATAAAGAATTTTTAACCATGCTAAGCCCTCATATGCTCTCAGTGTAGTTTCAGCTGTACTTTGCATTATGGTATGATGAATCTGTCCAAATTCTATTGTTAAAAATTCCTGTGTAAAAGAGAACTTGCATGGAAACTATGCAAAAGAAGTAGCTGGTTTGCAATGGAGCATCAAATTAAGGCCAAATTGCAAAGCTATAAAGTGAAAATTGTGAAAATGCCTTGCAGGAACAATAATATAACTGCACAAATATGCGATTCAATGAATATAAACAATTTTTTCTTAAAAACAGGCTATAACTGGATAGCAACTTCTTTAAAACTACCATTTATAGCTTCTCAGAGGTTAAGACAAAGGCCTTTTCAGTCTTTGTGACTCCATAAGGCTAGAAAGTAAAATGAAAGAGGTGTTTTAAAAATTGCATCCCATAAATCTGTCTCATTTTTATCTATGAAATGGAAGAAAAAAGAATATCTGTTTAGACATGTACATAGGCTTGCCACCAAAATGATGCACGTATAAAGAAAAATCTCACTTTTGAAAATGTTATTTGCAACTCTATGACACTATATATTGCTTAATGAGAAAATGAGGTCTATGCAGTCTGAATTAAAAATGTATCACTGCCCTTTTTCAAATTCTCAGCCAGCATTCCATCTCTCTGAAGCAGCAAGAATAAAAACCATTAACATTTTGATGATGCTCAAATACAGTTTAGAATTACTGAAATATTTAGGAAGTCACTATCAGTCCCTCTACGTACTACTGGGGACTTTTCACTACCAAACTTTTCATGCATAAGTCATGATGCCAAGTAAGTAAGTACAGACTGTTAAAAAAAATAAAATCATTGTTTCAGACAGCATAATAGCAAGATTAATGAAGGACCAGAATTAATCTCCTTAAAAGGGAAAAGGCAGCCAAAATAATACTTCTGCTAGCATACTTCTCATTCTTAGTATTTTTTTCAGTCAGTGGTTGGATAGAGGAAGATATATTAAAGGTCTTTCCATCTGTTGCTGATTCCTAACTTCTCTTCTGAACTTTTCTTTACTCTCCACAGTGAAACACTTCAACGTTCTGTTTAATGTCTACCACAGTAGACTGTACTACTTAGCACAGCAACCTGCTTATGCATCTCCCTTTCCCTGCTGAGGTCTGAAAAACAACATTTACCAGCTACAGAAACTCTGCCAGCTTCTGTCAGACCTTCAAACTGGCCAAATGTCAATATACAGGGACCTTGTGTGGCAGCACCTTCCATGACAAGGGGAAGGACTTGTTCTGCAGTTCTGGACAGGGGGGTGACATGGTTGGATTACCCCATCCTTTGTTATCTCCCCCTAGGGAGCTCTCTTCAAAGAGCTCCAGAGATGTTCATTTCCTGCCTCCACAGGGCACAATAAAGCCCACCTCTGCAGCCACTGCTTTTCAGGAACAGATCTATCCTTAGGCACAGCTCTGTTTAATCCAGCAGTGGAGCCTGGGAGCCAGCACCAGCTTGCTGTGCACCAGAGGCTGTGGTCGGGCTGCTTCCACCTATGGCACACACAAACACCTCCTGGTGCTAGAGAAGGTAGCATAAACACCAGATCTAAAACCAGAAGCTGTTCTTTGCAACTCATTTGATCAGATCAATTACATCAAGGTCCTCTGGGGAGAAATTGAATTAAAAATTTGATTTTCTGGGATTACAGAGAAAAATTATCAACCTCATTTCAAAAGTAATCCTCAGTTATACTCAGGTCCAAATTCTGAATCCCATCTTGGACATTATTTCTTCAGCTGGGCTTTGTACTTAATATTCTTCAATTGGTTTTCATTTTTTACCCCAATTGCCAGAAAGCCTACTTTTACTGTTTCATCTCTTTTTTGAATTCAATCCCAACTGTAACCATGCCAAGTCACAAGACCAACATGAGAAATCAGTGAACACCATGGGAACTCAGTTAGAAGGGCTCACTTTGGCTCCTCGTCAAAACTTGTTGGCCCTTCTCCAGGCCAGTATAAGGTAGCAGTAAAGCCCAGGCTTTGCAATCTGAACTAGTGGTGGAAGTTTTAAGCTCCCACTCACTGTCTTAGGTGCACCTTTCCTCTGGTATTTATTTCTTAATCTGGGAAACTGGTTTTGTAGTCCTCATTTTATGGTTTTTTTTTTTGCTTCATCCCTTTCCATTTCCACAGGGAACACCCACAGCCTGATTTTACAGACTTCTTTGCTTTCCAAAGAACTGCAGGATAACAGCTATGTTAACAAGAGGTTTGGCTCTAACTACTTTAATTGCTTAACTGTCATAATTACTTTAACTTTGAACTGGTTTTACTCATCATCAAACAGATTTATACCTCTGAAGAATTAGTGCAGTTAAGTATTTAATCACTTTCTCCTGACTGGGAGCACTCCTACTGAAGAGTTAAGGAGATCATGTAAACAGCTTCATGATCCTGAACTAAAAACTTTTACTAGAGTATTTGCAGTTACTTACGGGGTCACTTTACACATTTTTGTTGGTATGTGTTTCAGACAAATGTGCTTGAAGATTATTTAAAAATTGTTTTGCCAAAGAAGTGTGAAAATGCTGTCCATATCACATTTTGCCTCAGAAATGTTACACTCCTACTACAGAACTCCTTTTAGTTTGCTAAAAATAGTCTTTCAAAGGGACAGTGTGTGCTTTAATGCTTGTTCCATTCTTTCCAAGTAATTTTTTTACTTCTCTTAATAAGTCTCTTTCTAATATGAGCTGCAGAGAAAAAGTGTCTTTTCAATTGTTAATTTCTGACTGTTAATTTCTGTACTTTACTGTTGAATACCCTGTACTTAAGAATGATGGTTCGACTGTAATAATGCATTTATAAAGAAGGGAACTATGAGGAATAAGACCCAGAAAACCAGGTATCTGATATATATGTGAAAATAAAGTACCAACACCACCCGAAGAAGAATGTAAAAGTGAACAAAAATGTGATTTTGCAGCCTGGTATAGTTTTTTTAAATGAGGAAATATATTTTAAAACAGTGATTGAAATGCTCCTTGTCCCATCTGTTTCATTTGGCTGTTTTCACCATTTTCAATGGATCCTCTATCCCAGCTCATCTGCTTACCGGAGGAACTTTGTTACGTATCATTCTTACTTAAATTTCTCTTTGAAATTCCCTGGAATTCTAACTTGCCAATGGGGGCAAAAGTACATCTTTAGAAACCTGTCTCTTTCTTGTCTGACAGAAGTCTGAACAGCTACTTAATCAAAGGGAAATTTCCATCAAAGTAGGTAAAAGTACATGCTCTGATTTTATCTTTTTGACTTTATTATTAGATTTGTGGGCAGTCAGGAAAATGTTCCTCTCATTTTCCTTTCTTACAGCTCTTCTTTGTTACCAGTGAGATTTTTCTTCTTGCAGAAAATCTTGCAGCTTATTCTTAATATTACCATTTTAAAGTAAAAAGATATGTAAGATAATTATGGCGATGATGAGAAGAGTCAAATGGCAGAAGTAAAAATATCAAAGTTTAATGTCTGTATCAGACAGTTAAGACTCATGCTCCTAGGAAGAGAAAAAAGGAAGGGAATATATGATTCTAAGCTAAGACCACTGAATCTGATGATGCTT